CAATTGTGGGAACTACAATTCAAGATGATATGTGAGTGCAGACAAAGCTAAAGCATATCATTTTGCCCCTGTTCCCTCCCAAATCTCACGTCCTCACATTTCAAAACAAACCATGCCTTCCCAATATTCCCCCAAAGTCTTAACTCATTTCAGCATTAACTCAAAAGTCCACAGTCCAACATCTCATCTGAGACAAGATAAGTCCCTTCTGCCTATGAGCCTGTAAAATCAAAAACAAATTAGTTACTTTCAAGACTCAATTGAGGTACAGGCATTGGGTAAATATACCCATGCCAAATGGGAAAAGTTGGCCAAAATAAAGGGGCTACAGGCCCAATGCAAGTCCAAAATCCACCAGGGCAGACAAGTCTTACATATTAAGTCAAATCTTACCAAAGATTTGACAGAGTAAGTCAAATCTTAACAAAATGATCTCCTTTGACTACATGTCTCACATCCAGGTCTTATTGATGTAAGAGGTGGTTTCCCATGGTCTTAGGCAGCTCCGCCCCTATGGCTTTGCAGGGTACAGCCTCCCTCTTGGCTGCTTTCACAAGCTGGTATTGAGCATCTGTGGCTTTGCCAGGTGCACAGTGCAAGCTGTCAGTTAATAGGCCATTCTAAGGTCTAGAGGATGGTGGCCCTCTTTTCACAGCTCCACTAGGCAGTGCCCCATTAGGGACTTTGTGTGGAGGCCCCAACTCCACAATTCACTTCTGTACTGCCCTAGCAGAGGTTCTCATGGAGAACCCCAGCAGGCCCTGCCCCTGCAGCAAACTCATCCCTGGCAGCCAGGCATTACCATATACTGAAATCTAGGCAGAGGGTCACAAACCCCAATTCTTGATTCTGTGCACTTACAGGCTCAACACCACATGGAAGCTGTCAAGGCTTGGGTTTGCATCCTCTGAAGCCATGACACAAGCTCTACATTGAATTCTTTCAGCCATGGCTCAAGTGGCTGGGATGCAGGGCACCAAGTCCCTAAGCTGCACACAGCAAGGGGATCCTGGGCCTGGCCTGGGAACCATTTTTTCCTCCTAGGCCTCTGAGCCTTTGATGGGAGGGGCTGCTGTGAAGACCTCTGACATGCCCTGGAGATATCTTCCCCATTGTCTTGATGATTAACATTCAGCTTCTAGTTACTTACGCAAATTTCTGCAGCTGGCTTGAATTTCTTCACAGAAAAATGGGATTTTCTTTTCTATTGCATTGTCAGGCTGCAAATTTTTCAAACTTGTATGCTCCCATATAAAACTGAAAGCCTTTAAAACAGCACCCAAGTCACATTTTAAATGCTTTGCTGCTTAGAAATTTCTTCTACCAGTACCCTAAATCATTTCTCTCAAGTTCAAAGTTCCACAGATCTCTAGGGCAGGAACAAAATGCTGCCAGTCTCTTTGCTACGACATAACAAATGTCACCTTTGCTGCAGTTCCCAATTTCCTCATTTCCATCTGAGATCACTTCAGCCTGGACTTTATTGTCCATATTGCTGTCAGCATTTTGGGTAAAATCATTCAGCAAGCCTCTAGGAAGTTATCACCTTTCCCACATTTTACTCTCCTGAGCTCTACAAAGTGTTCCATCCCAGTTCCAATGTTGCGTACACATTTTTAGTTATCTTTACAGAAGTGCCCCACTCTATCAGTACCAAGTTACTGTATCAGTCTATTTCCACACTGCTGATAAAGACATATCTGAGACTGGATAATTTAGAAAGGAAAGATATTTAATTGACTCACAGTTCCACATGCCTAGTGAGGCCTCACAATCATGGTGGAATGCAAGGAGGAGTAAATTCATGTCTTACATAGTTGGTAGCAAGCAAAGTGAAAGCTTGTGCAGTGAAACTTACTTATAAAACCATAAGATCTTGTGAAACGTATTCACTATCATGAGAACAGTAAGGTGAAACTACCCACATGATGCAATTACCTCTCACCAGTTTTCTCCCAAAACACAGGGGAATTGTGGGAATTACAATTCAAGATGAGCTTTGGGTGGGGACACAGCCAAATCATATCACCTGCATATCTTAATATGTAGTTCCCTAAACAATCTCCACACATGTTTTTAAATTATTTTATGTAAAATATATAATTACATCTGCTATGGGTTGAGTAGCATCAACCAAAATTTCATATGTTGAAGTCCTAATTCTCAGAACCTCAGAATGTGACTTTTTCAAGATAGGAACTTTAAGGATGTAATGAATTTAAGGATTATATCTAAGGATGATATCATTAGAGTTAGCACTAATTCAATTTGAATGGTGTCCTTGTTAGAAGAGAAGATTAGGACACAGGCACAGAGACAAGGTCACGTGAAGAAACAGGGAGAAGATAGCAATCTACAAGCCAAGAACAGAAGTCTCAAAAGAAATCAAATCTGATGGCACTTTGATCTTAGATTTCCACGTTCTGTATCTTGTGAGAAAATAAATTTCAATTGTTTAAAACACCAAGTCAGTAGAACATGGTCTGGAAGCCACAGCAAATGAATACAGTATTTATTGACCATTTGATGAATCCAGGTGTTATGCTTTATTCTTTTTTCCTTTGCATTGTTTTACAATATTTTCATACAGATACTGTCAACATTATATAAAAATGGCTATAAGCGTTGGTAACTTACCCAACATATAATAAAGATGCTTGACATATCAAAATATCATATAGTAATTTCCATTGTATTATCTAAATCTAAAGGCTAACTAATGAGAGAATTTTAAGATTACAGTGAATATGCTTATCCAAAAAAAAAGGGTTTGTTACTTATTGATTATCTGACCCAAAAAACTCTAAATTTTAAGCAGTGAAATAATATGAGTTCCTTTTACTTAGGGCTTTTGTAAAAATAATACATGTAGTCCATTATGGCAGTGTTTGACTGAAAGTGTTAGTAAACCCTATCATTATTTTGTGAAAAAAAAAATTAAGTGCTTTTCTTTACATTTTGTCATTAGAAAAATTTTGATGCTTATTTCTACTTGCTTGAATTCTTAACTTTTTACAATAAAATATATAATATATAATCGGAAAAATACAATAAAGTTAGTGAGAAAAAACCAAAAAGCTAGGTTATAGCAAGGCGTAAATAGATTCAATAAAAAATTGTCCATTATACACACACACACACACACACACACACACATATTCCTCTGTAATTGATTCTAATTTTCTTCTTCTATTCTTAACTTGATTCTTTGCTATAGTTTTCTTCTCTTTTCCTTACTAGATTGTTTATACTACTTGGAAGTCTGTGCTTATTGCTTTTTCTGATCCTTTGCCTCTTTTAACCAATTTGATCCTGATTTTATCCTTTCCATTTAAACAAAAATGAAATATATTTTCATTGCAGGCTAATTGTTACTGAATATTTTCTAGCTTTTTACGGCTGGTATAGAACTCTAGATATTGCTATAGGACAATATTTTTCAAATGTTAAAGATAGCTTTCCTGGCTGTTAAAATACTTTTCTGTGATCCTAAGTCCTAATGGTTGGTATTGAAACTGAGCATAAGTGTCCTAGATGCTGCTGGCTTGAATAAGGTTTTTGTAGTTAGATATAACAGGCTACCTAAAGAACCATCTCAAATTAAGTATACTATGCCTTGATAAAGAAATCCCTCCACTCAAATAAATATTAAATCTCCCTTTATCTTTTTGTCTACCATTTCATTTTTTAAAATTATAACAAAGGAATTTGATTTTTTAAAATAAGGAATTATTTTGAGCAAATATCAAAGAAAATGGCATGCTTTTAATAATATACTGCTTTTTCATATTGTATGCTATTTGTCTCCATCACTCTGGTAAGGTTATAACAAGGAACGTTATTTAAGAGAATAATTTACATAAAGAGCAATATGCTGAAAATCTTCAATCTTGTATCTGACATGTTTTTGGTTCTTTGTTAATTTATTTCCCTGTTTTGCTTCCTTTGTTTTTGCTCATTCTTCTTTGATTTTTTCCATTAACTGATAGTTATTGAAAGCCAATGCAGATAAAATGTAGTGAGTCTTCAGCTCCTAAGCCTTGCATAATCTCCTTAGAGAAATTTATTATTGTCAAAGTGAAGCATTCTCCAGAATAAAAGAGTCTAATGATTTGTATTTTGGTTTAAGAAAGAGTTTTGCTCATGAATAATGATTCAGGCCACTGTATGTCCAGAAGAAATGGCAACCATAACTTACAATGTGGCTACTACTCATACATCTAAAGCATATAGCTCATTGAATCTATTTTAAATATGTTATAAAACAAAAACCTAACTTTCTTTTTAAAAAAGGGTGAATACTAACATTAGTAATGATTTGTTTGTGATGAGCCAAACAAGGTAAAAGAAAGGAATTGAAAGAGGTTACATAATGCTACACAATGATTTACTGCAAGCAAGTCCACTATGGAGTGACAGATTCCTTTAATTGCTTTAATGTGTTAGTTTTTTCCTTAGCTCTTAAGGTAGAATGGAGAAGTAAAAAAAGTTTATACCCTATGTTGTATCTACTGTAAAAAGATAACGATTGACATGCAAAAAATGAAATCAAATATAAATCTTGTTTTTCCTTGGGCAACCAATAAATAAAAACAAACCAATTTGATAGGGCATCCTACATACATTTCATTGTGTTTTATTAAAAATCTAAGATTAGAGAAAAAAGAATGAAAAGATATGAACAAAGCCTCCAAGAAATATGGAATTCTGTGAAAAGACCTAATCTACATTTGATAGGCTTACCTGAATGTGATGAAGAGAATAAAACCAAGCTGGAAAAGACTCTACAGAATACTATCCAAGAGAACTTTCCCAATCTAGCAAGGCAGGCCAATATTCAAGTCCAGGAAATACAGAGAACACCACAAAGATATTCCTCAAGAAAAACAACCCCAAGGCACATAATTGTCAGATTCACCATGTTGAAATGAAGGAAAAAATCTTAAGGGCAGCCAGAGAGAAAGGGTGGGTTACCCACAAAGGGAAGCCCATCAAATTCACAGTGGATCTCTCAGCAGAAACCCTACCAGCCAGAAGAGAGTGGGGGCCAATATTCAACATCCTTAAAGAAAAGAACTTTCAGACTAGAATTTCATATCCAACCAAACTAAACTTCATAAGCAAAGGAGAAATAAAATTCTTTATGAATAAGCAACTGCTGAGAGATTTTGTCACCACCAGGCCTGCCCTACAAGAGCTCCTGAAAGAAACACTAAACATAGAAAGGAACAACCAGTACCGGCCACTCCAAAAATCTACCAAATGGTAAAAAGCATGAACAAAATGAAGAAACTGTGTCAACTAATGGGCAAAACAACCAGCTAGCATCAAAATGGCAGGATCAAATTCACACATAACAATATTAACCTTAAATGTAAATGAGCTAAATGCCCCTATCAAAAGACACAGACTAGCAAATTGGATAAAAAGTCAAAACCTATTGGTGTGCTGTATCCAGGACCCATCTCACATGCAAGGTTACACATAGGCTCAAAATAAGGGGATGGAGGAAGATTTACCAAGCAAAGGGAGAGCAAAAATAAAAGCAGGAGTTGCAATCCTAGACTCTGATAAAATAGACTTTAAGCCAACAAAGATCAAAAGAGACAAAGAAGGGCATTACATAATGGTAAAAAGATCAATGCAACAAGAAGAGATACTGATCCTAAATATATATGCACCCAATACAGGAGCACCCAGATACATAAAGCAAGTTCTTAATGACATAGATTCCCACACAATAATAGGGGAGACTTTAACACTCCACTGTCAATATTAGAAAGATCAACGAGATAGAAAATTAACAAGGATATCCAGAACTTCAACTCAGATCTAGACCAAACAAACCTAATAGACATTTACAAAACACTCCACCCCAAATCCACAGAATATACATTCTTTTCAGCACCACATAACACCTACTCTAAAATTGACCACATAATTGGAAGTAAATCACTCCTCAGCAAATGCAAAAGAACAGTAATCATAACAAACAGTCTCTCAGACCATGCTGCAATAAAATTAGAACTCAGGATTAAGAAATGCACAATTTCATGGAAACTGAAAAACTGGCTCTTGAATATTTACTGGATAAACAATGAAATGAAGTCATAAATAAAGATGTTCTTTGAAAACAACTAGAATAAAGACACAATGTACCAGAATCTCTGGGACACATTTAAAGCAGTATGTAGAGGAAAATTTATAGCAATAAATGCACACATGAGAAGCAAGAAAAGATCTAAAATCAACACTCTATCATCAGAATTGAAAGAGCTAGAGAAGCAAGAGCAAAAGCTAGCAGAGGACAAGAAATAATTAAGATCAGAGCAGAACTGAAGGAGACAGACACAAAACACCCTTCAAAAAATTAATAAATACATGAGCTGTTTTTTTGAAAAGATCAATAAAATAGACCACTAGACAGATTAATAAAAACGAAAAAAGAGCAGAATCAAATACATGCAATAAAAAACAAAAAAGGGGATATCACCACAGATTCCACAGAAATACAAACTACCATCAGAGATTACTACAAACAACTCTATGCACATAAACCAGTAAATCTGGAAGAAATGGATAAATTCCTGGATACTTACACCCTCCCAAGTCTAAACCAGCAAGAAGTCAAAACCCTGCATAGACCAATAACAAGGGCTGAAGTTGAGGCAGCAATTAGTAGCCTACCAACCAAAAAAAGCCCAGGTCTGGATGGGTTCACAGCTGAATTCTACCAGACATACAAAGAGGAGCTGGTACTACTCCTTCTGAAACTATTCCAAACAATCCAAAGAGGGAATCCTTCCCAAATCATTTTATGAGACCAACATCATCCTGATACCAAAACCCACAGAGACTCAACAAGAAAAGAAAGCTTCAGGCCAATATCCATGATGAACATAGATGCAAAAATCTTCAATAAAATACTGGCAAACCAATTGCAACAGCACATCAAAAAGCTTATCCATCATGATCAAGTAGGCTTCATCTAGGGGATGCAAGGCTGGTTCAACATATGCAAATCTATAAATGTAATCCACCACATAAACAGAACCAAAGACAAAAACCGCAGGATTATCTCAATAGATGCAGAGAAGTCCTTCAAAAAAATTCAACAGCCTTTTATGCTAAAACTCTCAATAAACTAGGTATCAATGGAAAGTATCTCAAAATAATAAAAGCTATTTATGACAAACCCACAGCCAATATCAAACTGAATGGGCAAAAACTGGAAGCATTCCCTTTGAAATCCGGCACTAGACAAGGATACCCTCTCTCACCTCTCCTATTCAACATAGTATTGGAAGTTGAGTCAGAGCAATCAGGCAAGAAAAAGAAAGAAAGCATATTCAATTAGAAAAGGAGGAAGTCAAATTGTCTCTATTTGCAGATGACATGATTGGATATTTAGAAGACCCCATCATCTCAGCCTCAAATCTCCTGAAACTGATAAGCAACTTCAGCAAAGTCTCAGGATAGAAAATCAATGTGCAGAAATCACAAGCATTCCTCTACACCAATAACAGACTTAAAGAGAGCAAATCAAGAATGAACTGCCATTCACAATTGCTACAAAGAGAATAAAATACCTAGGAATACAACTAACAAAGGATGTAAAGGACCTCTTCAAGGAGAACTACAAACCACTGCCCAAGGAATGAGAGAGGGCACAAACAGATAGAAAAACATTCTATGCTCATGGTTGGGAAGAGTCAATATTGTTAACATGGTCATAGTGCCCAAAGTGATTTATAGATTCAATGCTATCCCCATCAAGCTACCTGTGACTCTATTCACAGAACTCAAAAAAACCACCTGAAACTTCATATGGAACCAAAAGAGAGCCTGCATAGCCAAGTCAATTCTAAGTAAAAGGAACAAAGCTGGAGGCACCATGCTACCTGACTTCAATTTATACTACCAGGTTACAATAATCAAAACAGCACGGTACTGGTACCAAAACAGAGATGTAAACCAATGGAATAGAACAGAGGTTTCAGGGGCAGTACCACACATCTACAAACATCCAATCTTTGACAAACATGACAAAAACAAGCAAGGGGAAAGGATTCCCTGTTTGATAAATGGTGTTGGGAAAACTGCCTAGCCATGTGCAGAAAGCAGAAACTGGACCCCTCCTGACATCTTACACTAAAATTAACTCCAGATGGATTAAAGACTTAAACATAAGACCTAACACCATAAAAACCCTAGAAGAAATACATAGGCAAAACCATTCAGGACATAGGCATAGGCAAGGACCTCATGACTAAAACACCAAAAGCATTGAAAACAAAAGCCCAAATAGAGAAATGGGGTCTAGTTAAACTCCAGAACTTCTGCCCAGCAAAAGAAACAATCATTAGAGTGAACTGGCAACCAATAGAATTGGAAAAAAATTTTGCAATCTACCCATATGACAAGGGGCTAATATCCAGAATCTACAAATAACTAAAACAGATTTACAAGAAAGAAACAAATCCATTCAAAAGTAGGCGGAAAGAAGGCATATATGAGGCCAACAAACTTATGAAAAAATGCTCATCACTGGTCATTAAAGAAAAGCAAATGAAAACCGCATTGAGATACCATCTCACACCAGTTAGAATGGCGATCATTAAAAAATCTGGTGACAACAGATGCTGGAGAGGATGTGGAGAAATAGGAACACTTTTTCACTGTTGGTGGGAGTCTAAATTGGTTCAACCATGTGGAAGGCAGTGTGGCGCTTCCTCAAGGACCTAGAAATAGAAATTCCATTTGATCCAGTAATCCCATTACTGGGTATATATCCAAAGGATTATAAATCATTCTATTATAAAGACACATGCACACATATGTTCACTGTGGCACTGTTTACAATAGCGAAGACCTGGAACCAACCCAAATGCCCATCAATAGACTGGACAAAGAAAATGTGGCACATATACACCATGGAATACTATGCAGCCATAAAAAACAATGATTTTGTGTCCTTTGTAGGGACATGGGTGAATCTGGAAACCATCATTCTCAGCAAACTGACACAAGAACGGAAAATCAAACACCGCATGTTCTCACTCATAGGTGGGTGTTGAACAATAAGAACGCCTGCACACAGGGAGGGGAGCATCACACACTGGGGTCTGCTAGGGGAGACTAGGGGAGGGACAGTGGGGATTAGGGAGTTGGGGAGGCATAACATGGGGAGAAATGCCAGATATAGGTGATGGGGAAATGGGGGCAGCAAACCACATTGCCGTGTAAGTGCCTATGCAACAATCCTGCATGTTCCGCACATGTAGCCCAGAACCTAAAGTGCAATAATATATATATATATATATGAAGTCTATCAAGAAGATAGAACAAAAGCCTTTATCATATTATTCTGTCCTCATGTCTTTCTTTGTAAAATGATGGAAAAAAGTTCTCCATAAGTAAATTATTAACTAATGAAAATTACTTATAGAAATTTTATGAGGATGATATCTGGAATAAATTCAGCAGGCAAGTATTTCATCTAAATATTGGTCATTTTTTCTTACTGAATTGAATTGGAGCTGAACCTGACATATTCATTATTTGTCTAATATGTTTTATGTATGGTTCTCACAGAATGGTGTTCATGGTATTGCTGTAAATTCAGGCAGTTTGGGGATTCACTTCCATTATAGTTTCACAGACGTTGACTTGTATTTAGAAAAAATGAAAATTTAGCTTTAAAAAATGTGTTATTTGAAATTTATCCTTTGAGTTAAGCTAGTCATAATTTTGATCCAAAACAATATCCTATCTCTGCCAAGTTAATGTTAATGTTATGTTATTCAATTTCCAGTTTTTAAATTTTTCTAATGTTTTGCTTCAATGAATTACACAATATTCTCTCTGTGTGCCTGCAAAACTCCCACTTCAAACAAGATCATTTTAACTGTAAAGTGTCAAATCATTTAAGTAGATTTTTTAAGACATTAAAAGCTCTATATAACTTACTTTTTCTTATAGAAGTGTTTGCTTTATAAATAAGTGGCAAAATAAACAACTAAATAGGCAACTGTATAAATATTGGTACATTTAAAAGATGGAAGGAGATGCTTTCATGTACTTATATGGAGAGACCTCCTAAGACATATTCAAATGTTTCGTGTAAAATAGTTCATTTCTCACAAGGCCAGATTTTCACAATATTATTTTGCATAGACATTCCACTCTCAACTTATATATTTGCACAATTAGTCACAATTTCTTCTGTCTCTTTCTCTTATTCTTCCTTCCTTCATTCATTCAACAACTATTTGCTTAGTGCCTGAAAAGTGCTAGGTACTGAGTGACATACTGAGGTTGAGTAGTGAATAACAGAGAAGATGCTGGCTCTGCGGGAACTTATGTTCTAGAGCTTTACATTTTTATGATGCCTATGAAGGCTCAGTTCTACCCTAGACTAAATGACTGAGGTAGATGGAGAGCTCTGGTATCCCTCTCCTTCTCCACTCATCTAGTGGTCTTGGACATACACTTAAGGAGACCAAGGATACAGAATACTCAACTCACCCTGCTGTGCAACTTCGACCATGTAAATGATTGCTTGATGCTGACATTAATCTCCATGTGAACTCCCAATGCTGTTTCAATTCTCAAGTGAACTCCAGGCCTCTCCAAAGCTTAACAGCCCTGTTCTAATATCCATTGGCTGGAATGCCCTAGTGAGAAAAGTGGACTTTTTATTTCATACCCACCAACATCACAGGGCTTGCTATAGCCGTCTGCCTGGTTTTTCTCTATTTATCGAGGGATGAGGCCTCTTGCACAACTGAAAGTGTGCATTTCTGAGGACTGGAGTAAACTCTTAACTTCTGTCTTTTGTTTGGACTCCTTCATTGATGACACATCACAGAAGCTGAGATCCATCATGGACCTCCGAAGATAATTAATCCAGATGCCTCTTTGGTCCGTTCCACTAACCAGCTGGAACACATAATTTCTTCCTCTCCAATCCCAACATCAATTATTCACCCAAATAATGACCAGATGTTGCTAGTTTACTTGGAAATAGTGTCCTGTAGTTCTGGCTTTGTCTCTGTCTCTGATCTCTGCTGGGAAGGCTCCATAGGCCCCTTCCTTCCCATGGTGCATCATTCCAATCTAGCTACCAGGAAACTCTGTTGTGCAGATGATAGATTTGATGTGTCTCTAAATCTGCACACCATCACCTATCTGCCTTTTGTTGCCTATTATTTTCCTTCTATTAATGAATTAATGCAAATACTTACATTTTATTTATAAGAGCTCTTGCCTGCTGTCCCTTTCTCATTCAAACAAAATATATTGTTACATTCTTTCTTAATTTCTTATTAAAGAAATAAAAATAAACTACCAAAACAACTCTTCAAAATCTGATATTTTGGCAAATTATATTTCACAATTCAAGTAGATATCCAGATGTTGGTTTTCAATAGTATATGATTATTGAACATAAGTATTCAAAGATAAAATGTAGAAGTACAAATTTTCTCATCAGGTAAATAGATGGCCAAATTGTGGCTTAATTTCCAGAGATTGAATTGATTCCAGAAATTGAATTGGACTCTATTTTATTTCACTTCATATGTCTATATGTGTGTATATGTATATTTTTGTGCTACCAAACTTGTTAAGAATATTCTTTGTGTAATATGCAAAATAGTTTTTGGTCAGTGAACAAAACTGTTGGCTCATAGTTTAGTATTTAATACCTACATAGAAAATCCTAATTCATAACTCAAGATTTGTACTTCTTTCAAAATTGCCTATAATTATTAGGTTTTACAGAAATTCTGTAATGCAGACTGCAAAATAACTATTTAAAAATAGCAAAATCCCTGTCTACTAGTAGTATAAAATGTCCTTGACTCTGCTGAGTGATGGAGGATCCCTGGGTATGCTTAGGTTTTTTGTTTGTTTGTTTGTTTGTTTGTTTGTTTGTTTGTTTGTTTGTTTTTAAGACAGAGTCTTGCTACGTCGCCAGGCACCAGGCTGGAGTTCAGTGGCACAATCTCGGCTCACTGCAACCTCTGCCTCCCGGGTTCAAGGAGTTCTCCTGCCTCAGCCTCCCCAGTAGCTGGGACCACAGGCACGCGCCACCACGCCCAACTAAGTTTTGTATTTTTGGTAGAGACGGGGTTTCACCATGTTGGCCAGGATGGTCTCCATCTCTCGACCTCATGATCTGCCCGCCTCGGCCTCCCAAAGTGCTCGGATTACAGGCATGAGCCACCGCGCCTGGCCGCCTGGGTATGCTTAGGTTTGTAACGAACAGCTTTAAGAAAATTTTCCAGTGGCTGCCTTGCTTTTTCTAAATGTCATGTTTCTGGGGTTAACAGTTTTCTATGTTCAAAACACTCCTACAAAGTGAAATATATGTGGCACACAGTAGAGATTGGAGTACAATGTGCATTTTTATATGTGAAAATTCTTATATGGATTTCAAATGTAGAATCAACTTGAGGTGGGCTAAGTAATATCAGAAAACCCTTAGCTATGGGAAAGAACAGAAGAAGAGGTTATATTTTTGTTTCTTTTCTTCTTCTCATTTTTTTAGACAGACTCTTTCTCTATCACCCAGACTAGAGTGCAATGGCACAATCTCGACTCACTGCAACCTCTGCCTTCTGGGTCC